ACGACCCCGGCTCTCCGCCTGCCCGCAGCAGCCCCCCGGTGCCGCGGGCTGCGCGGGTCCCCCCGGCCCCCCGTCCTGCCGCCCCCCCATGCGAGGGGCCCCCGGCCGGCCCCTCCGCCGCGCTCCCACGCCGCCCCTCCGCTCCTGTCCCCCGCGCCGCCGGGAGCCGCCACCTGCGCGCCGGGCTGCGGGGCCAGCGGCGGGCAGGAGCCGGGCGGGCACCGGAGGATGCCGGAGACCGGGCAGGAGCCACCCAGCGCCCCGCCGCCTCCCCCCAAGGAGTCCTTCTACATCAAGAACCTGCTCAACGGCGGCCCCCCCAAGGCGCCCCCCAAGCAGCCGCGGGCGCTGTTCGCCCCTTCGGGCAAGGCGGCGGTGGACGGCGCCGGCTTCGCCCTCTCGCAGGTGGGAGACCTCGCCTTCCCCCGCTTCGAGATCCCGGCGCCGCGCTTCGCCCTGAGCGCGCACTGCCTGGAGCGCGCCCAGACCTGGTGGTACCCGTACGCCCTGACGCCGGCCGGAGCTCACCTGCCCCGCACCGAAGGTACCGCTCCCCGCAGCTCCCTTCCTTCCCTCCCCGGCGGGGCGGCCGCGGTGGGCACCGGGGGGGGTGAAGCCGTCGGCGGGGCGACGCGGGGGTCCGGCCGGCTCGTCCCGTTTTTCCCCCGACGGGACGCGGGGGCCGGGTGGTGAAGGTGTCTCTTTGTGTCCCCTATCCCTCCCTCTTCATCCCCCGCTTCGTCCTTCCCCTCCAGCCGCAGAGAAATCCCTGCTGAGGGACTCGTCCCCCGCCTCGGGCACCGACCGGGACTCCCCGGAGCCGCTGCTGAAGGCGGAGGGGGAGCAGAAGGAGCTGGACTCCAAGAGCCCCGACGAGATCGTCCTGGAGGAGAGCGACTCCGAGGAGGCGAAGAAGGAGGGAGGCGCGGAGGACTGGAAGAAGCGGGAGGAGAGCCCGGAGAAGAAGCCGTGCCGCAAGAAGAAGACGCGCACGGTGTTCAGCCGCAGCCAGGTCTTCCAGCTGGAGTCCACCTTCGACATGAAGCGCTACCTGAGCAGCTCGGAGCGGGCCGGCCTGGCCGCCTCCCTCCACCTGACAGAGACCCAGGTGAAGATCTGGTTCCAGAACCGCCGCAACAAGTGGAAGCGGCAGCTGGCGGCCGAGCTGGAGGCGGCCAACCTCAGCCACGCGGCCGCGCAGCGCATCGTCCGCGTCCCCATCCTGTACCACGAGAACTCGGGCGCGGAGGGGGGCGCGGGGGGCGGCGGAGCCCCCGGCACCCAGCCCCTGCTCACCTTCCCTCACCCCGTCTACTATTCCCACCCCGTGGTCACCTCCGTGCCGCTCCTGCGGCCCGTCTGAGCCCGCCCGCCGCTGCGCGGAGGGGCGCGGAGAGGCGCGCAAGGCACCCGCCCGCTTGTAAGTACTCCAGCCCTTCGTGCGACCCACCCGGGCGGCGTCTGCGGAGCACGGGTTTTGGGTGGAGAGAGGTGCGGGGGTGGGGGGTACCCCTCGGCGTGTGGCGTTAGGAGGAAAGTCGCAAAAATCTAGGAAAAAAAAAAAAGAAAAAGAAAAAAGGGGGGGGGGGGGGGAAAGGGATATCGGGAAGAGGAAAGGGGGGAATTGTAAGGAACCCTGGAGCTGTCACACCTTTTGTAAAAGTGGAAGAAAACCGGGGGGGTTGTTGGGGGTTTAGTTTTATTTTTGTAAAAAAAAAAAAAAAAAGAAAAAAAGAAAAAAAAAGAGGAAAAAAAAGTGGGAGAAAAAAAAAGAAAAAAATGGGGGGAAAGAAAGGATGATATTAATAATAAAAAAAAAGGAATGATCCCAGGCCACTCCTCGAGATTTGCCAAACGCTAACGGGAAGCTGAATTTCTGTTCCTTTCGGACCTCTCCTTCTGCCTCCAAATAATTGTTCAGGCTCCTGATCCTGTCGTGACTCAAACTTCATCGACCACGGCTTTTCATTTAAGCAGACCTTTGCCTCTTTGCTTGCCCACCTTTTGTACCTTTCTTTTTTTTGTCATGGGACTTTTACGAGCAAGAAATACAGCCTCAAAGTGAACAGTTAAATACACCCGCGCGCTTTGAGTGACCCCTATTTATTATCATTTATTTAGACATTTTTAATTCTTGTTTATAATTCTTGTTTTCCTAGTTGTCGGGTTGTTTTGGGTTTTTTCTTCCTTGTAAAGTTATTTCGGTATTTTGGGGAGGAAAAAAATCTGTACCCTTTCACTTTCTTTTGTAATACTAATTATTATTATTATTATTATTATTATTAATATTATTGTACTTTTGAACTGTGCAATATTGTACGATGATTCTTAAAGCACTGCTTTTATTTGAATGGTGAGGAAAGGGTTTTTAGCATTGTAAAGCTGCATTCGTTCATGTTGTACAAAATAAAATAAAAAAGAATTAAAAGCGAAGGAAAGTGAGAAGAGAGGAGCAAGGCATGGGAATTAACATCAGCCCGGCTTCATGCGAATAAATAAGGGAGATTCGGTGAGCTGGGCGCTTTAAGTGAAGGACAATCAACTTTAGGGTAATTTTAATTTATTTGGTATGATGTACAGTTTTCTTCTAAAGTCCATTGAGTATGTGGATTTTAATAGGCAGAAATCAAGTGAGGAGTGGACACCTCTAGTCTCTCTCTGTCTTAGTGTCTACTCACCTGTTGTCTGACAATTGTTTGCTGTCTTCCCAAGGGTTTGGGTTGGTTGGTTCCTTTTCTTTATTTTATTTTGAATTTTGTTTTCCTCTTTTTGATTGTACTCTCTGCCCTCTCGCTTTCTGTTAGGGATCGGTCCTATTTTTAAAACAGCCTATATTGTTATAAACTTAATGTTGTGGTGGAAAAAAAAAAATCAATAAAACCCGTTCCTTATCATTTTTTAAGTGTGGTTTTGGATAAGAAAAAAAAAAAAGAGAGAGAGAGAGAAAATATAAGCAACGACAACAAATAATAATAAAAAGAAATAAACAAAAAATAACTCAACGGTTTTCTGGGAGCGCTGCCGGCCCTGCTCGGGGTGCGGGAGCCAGGGACCGGAGCCGCCCCTGCCGGGAATCCTTCGAGCGGGTGTCCGGAGGCCTCTCCGATGGGAAGCGGATCGGGGACGGGAGGGGGGGATCTTTCCCACCTCCGTCGACTCGGTAACCCCGAGCGAAGGGTCGCAGACTCCCAGGGAACCCCCTCGGGACGGGGGCGGGCGAGGGGGGTCCCTTCCCACGGGAGGGCCTCCTCCCCTTCCCGGGGGCTTCCCCTGAACTTCTGGCCGCCCCTTCCTCTGCGCCCCCCCCCCCCTCCGGTACTGCCCTTCCCTTCTCCCCCCTCCTCAGGGGGCTGCCGCAGGGTGTCCAACCCCCCTGGACTGCGCCCTCTGCCCACGGCCGGAGCCGTCACGCGTGTTAATACTCCCGGCAGGGTTATTTGGAGAAAGGATCCCTCTCCGCTTCCCGCAGATTGGCCCGAATCGACGTGTTGATAGCGCCGAGGGCAGGATTTCGGGCCAAAGAAATCAAAATAAAACTCTGCGTTGCGAAAAGATAATCCTGCGTTTTCTTTTCGTTTGGGATAAAAACCCTGGCAATGGGTCATAAACGAAAAATAAACAGAGTTTCAGAGTCAAAATACGGTGCTGGCTGTGTCGCCTACAAACAGAGCGATGCCTTTGCTGTTTGCAGTACCAACTTTCGGACAAGTCGCTTGCAGCCCATTAAAAATATTGTTGTCATAGTAAATAGGTCTTTCCATTTTACAGCGCGGCAGCACGATGTTATCAAACGGCAAGGAAAAAAAGCTCATTTATTTCTGGTCAGTGCCCGGAAAACGATTCCGGACCCTCCCGGCCCTTCCCCAGCCGAGGAAGGAGCCGCTGGACACCAACGCGGCCCCCGCCCCGCAGCGCGGCCTTTGCGCGGGTGCGGGCAGCAGCGGGCACCGGCCCGTCTTGCCCGTCCCGGACCTGCCAGGGCCACTTCCCATGGGAATGATGATCTTGGTGGGGTTGATGGAGTTCGGTAGAATTTTTTTTTTTTTTTTTAATTAAGGAAAAAAAAGAAGGAAGAAGGAAAAAAATCTAACCAGATTCCTGCTTTCCTGCTTCCCGCTGCCCTTTCACACCGCAGCATCTATAGCTGATAGAAGCTGTGAAACTGCTCGGTGAAGTTGGGCAGGGGGTCGAGGGCCTGTGAGCCCGGTTCTCTGCCCCCCGAGCCGCCCCTCTCCCGCAGCC